GACCAGGATGATGCTGGACATGCTTGATTGGTTCTTTGTGTGAGTTAACACAGACAGAACATACTTTCACACTAATGTTAAGTGAGTGAAAAACTCTGTCCCCCCCCCATCATCAGGTGGAATAATAAAATGGTGAAATGTTTTTTTTTACTAGCTGCGTCCTCGGTCATTCCTTTTCCTGATTAAATATTGCTTGGTATTACCTCAGTATTTGACCTTCGACCTGTTGCTGCTCTTTATTAGTGTCCATCAGTTTCAGCTGCTTTGGTTTTATTATTTTATTTAAAATACGCATTATTAAAAGTAGCTATTTATGCTGTTGTCTTTTATGAAACGTTTAAAAACTCAGAGAAAACAAACACTGACTTTAATTTTACATTGTGTTTCTTTCAATTCATTTTCTTTTGTGTTGCATTTTTTATCAAAGCAGTTCATGGGGTCTGCAGTTTGAGCAGTGTACTGTAGTTATCACCCAAACCTGACAGGCTTGACTGGGATCTTTAGAAAACAAAAGGGTCACCGCTTCATTCTGACCACGTTTGTACCAGGAACACGTGGAGAAGAACAAAAGGAAAAGTTCACATCATGCTGGACAGAGTGAGGGACAACTTCACTTTTCATAATCCAACTGTGCCATCTTGTGGTTCAGGGAGAAGAATATAAAGAGAGAAGATTATTACCTCGGACTCTAAGACTGTAAATCATTTAAAATTTATGATCGCAGCATAAATCAGCAGTGGTGCCTGAATACTCAGCACTGGAAGCTGCTGTGACAGCGGCCCCGGTGCAGGGCAATTAGGGCCATTGATTGAGTTGTCATGGGTAGAGGAGAGCAATGATATGATGTGATCAGTGCTGACACCCAGTGGTAATGTGTGGCTCCTGGTGCTGGCTGCTGCATCCAGCTCACCATGCCTCTGCATCTGCCTCCACTTAATCAGATATGACAAGCTCCCAGGGTCTTAGCTCACAAAACAATCAGAGAGGAGCCGCTCAGCTGCACCTCAGCCCAGCACTTTAGTCGAACGTAGACCATTAAGACGGATGATGTTGTGCACCTTTTCCTGCTCCCCTCTTCATTGTAAACACATTACTCTAAAGACAGCCCTGAAACCACAGCAGATGTCTAATTTGCGTGTTAATTATCATTATGGGCCACTTACCAGTGTGTTGACAACACTCTGGCTGTGAGCTGGAGCTGCAGTCAGATGGTGCTTCATGTTTTTCCAGCACCAGTCTTCTGGCTCTCCAAACTCACTGATTGGGCCCATGTCTCCTCATCAAGCTGTGATGTGAAGGAGAGGCCTGTGATCGTTTCAGTATCTCTGGGAACAGAACAGCAAGTGTTGGAGAGTCACAGCTTTTAGAGCAATTCTTCAATGAAGTCTGGGAACAGTTCAGGCAAAGTTGCTTCCAGACAGAGCTGAGTTGCAGAAAGTGCAGACGTCTCTCAGTGTGAGACTCTTGTCATCCTGTCTTTTTAGTCTCTCGCCAGCAGAGGAAGTGTCAGTCTCTCTCTCTCTCTCTCTCTTTCTCTGTGTTCGTCTCTGACTGATGGAAGTGTCACACTCGCACCAAGAGACTAGGACAGATCATGACGGGAAATGTGCCTCGATTTTAATTTAAAAACGCAATATACTGAATAATAATGGCGCACTGCATGTAATATGAATATAAGATCTAACAACATATATATTATATAATCTTACAATATACATTATACAGCTCTAGGTTATATAAGATTTTGGTTAGTTATATTTCCTCTCATCTTACATACTTTTTGTTATTGTTAATATAAAAATAATTGCACTACATTTCCCCCCTCTGTGCAATCACATGAGTTTTTTTTTTTTTATTCATCTCACCTCATCTTATCTGTATCAGCTCAGCTCACCACCACACATTACATCTCCTCCCCTCTATTTTCCTCTCCTCTTATTTCCTCTCCAGTTCTATCTTAAAAATTACATTTGGAAGCAACTTTGGAAAAATAATATTTTCTGTACCACAACCAACAGAGGGAGTGGTGTTAAAGCTGAGACCATTTTCAACCTGTTTTAACATGTTCACAAAGTATGCTGTCAAAATCCCTATATACAACAACGACAACGTACACTGAGTGTCCAGGTTGTACAGTTAAAAAAAACCCCACAGCACCATAGCTTTGATAATGAGCATCAAAGGCCTGCTCTTCATTCTGTTTTCCACTGCACTTCAATTCATTAAAATGTCACATGAATATTCAGGAGGCGTCACGCTGCCTGAGACAGACAACAAATGCTGAGCTCTTACATCTTCATCCTCATCCGCTCATATTATCCCCATTATGGTGATATGTTAATCCACATCTGCTGCCTGGAGTCAAACCGTTTCTCTCTCACTGTCATTCTCTCTCTCTTTATCTATGACTATGGCTCAGAGGTGAAATCAGGACAAACTGAAAATGGAAATCTCTACATATATAATTGCCCATGAATAAACTGTATACATATATGAAGTAATTTGGTCACATTGTTGAAATGTTAGCCAGTCTTCAGGTACTTTATCTGTTGCTAATGTTTTGTCAAAATAAGGCAAATGTTTATACGAAGCCATTTTTTTTTAATTAAATGGTTCAGTGGGCCACCGGTTGATAGTTACTGGGCTACATTTTGTCTTAATTATTTGTAAGTCTGGATACATGTTCATACATAAGGAAGTGATTATAACTGGGAACATCTATTTTAAATGGTATTGTAAATGTAATGAAAATACAGACTGACCCACTGTCCTGTGGTAATTCCCACAATGACTGACAAATTAACGTCTAACAGAAATCATTGTTATATTTTTGCTTTGATTCAGTAATAAAATGAAGTACATCGGGGAAACATTAGCTCTTTTCTCAGTGTATGGCTTTGTTGTATTTACATTATCATTATTGTGAGTTAGAAGTCAATCAACTGTGCTGTGTCGTAATGTTGCATCACACCTGCGACACTTTATTTATTTATTCATATTTTTGCTCGCAAACCTATTCCTCTGAGACTGATGTCTGTGTTACTCCCTAACAGGCTCCATCTATGAATAAATCACTACAAGCAAGAACAGAGACGAAAAACAAAGAACAAAGGCTGCGTGTGAGCAAAGCAGAGTCACAGCGACAGTGGAGAGGAAGACAGGGAGGCAGCTGAGGTGAGGAACAAGAAGTGTGAAGGAATATTCAACACTTCAGAAAGAGAAGCATGTGTACAACAAGACATATAAACGGTGGCATGCTGTGCTTAATGTGGAGGAAACCTTAGAATAAATGCAGACCATCACAGGGGGCGCTAAGGAGAAAAGGCCAGTTTTCAGACCAGTTCAGTAAAATTGGATTATTTCCCATGGTACACCTGGTGATCTCATACAACACACTAATGTGCCACAGCACAGTGTTTAAGAATCACTGGTCTCTGTGCACATACAGGTCAAAAGTTCACTTTACTTTTCTTTTTTATTCCACTATGGTGTGGTTCATTGTCGTGTGTAGTGGACGTCAGGTTTGTTTATTGCTGGGCACGTTAATGCATTATGATTGCATCTTGCATTAATTTCCTGTTGCTTAGGTTTTTCCATTCTTCGCTGGCTCTGAATGCACGTAAAAAGAAGCCAGGGTTCACAAGCACAGTGGGATGTTGATCAGTACTGACTGCAGTGCTTAATGATGCAGAGCAGAGAGGAGGAAAAAAATGTCTTCTGAATTTCCACCAGACTAGCAGTAATTTTTAAAATAAACTATTTCTAAATTCATTTTAGACATTTTTTACATAATGATGCCACTGATCACAGAAAATCATGGATTTATGGAAATTAACAAACTTAGTGGTTGCATTGCATAAACTGTTTTTTTTTAAATAGACAGCTGTTAGCAGGTCATACTATTAACACATCTCCGTCTAGTCTTGTGCCATTTCATTTTCTAGTACTTTCTTAAATACCCGGTTGTTATTCCCCTCAGTTTTAGACCCTCCAGACTCCAGCGGTGGATAATGAATTAGCTGCAACAGAAGCCTATAGCTTCACTTTTGAAGTCGTCATTAAATATTCCTTTTAATTTACAATGAATCACAAAGTGAGAAAAAAGGAAGAATATCTCTGCTCTGCACGCATTCTTCCCTTCTTTTGTGGATTTTTTTCCCAGTTATTCTGAACCCATTGACTGCAGACAGTTCTGTTGGATGTCTCTGTCCTTCAAGTCTCAGCATATATTAATGGAAGGGTTTAAAACAGCTTAAGTGACATTTTAGTAAATATTTTGACCAGTATTTATTGCACTCATATTTATTTATTTATTTATTCTCAAGTTGCAGACGCATTGCTCAAGACTTTTTTTTCAAGCCTTATCTTTGAGCCGTGTTTTTAAACCAGCACACAGGCAAGTTAGTCAGACAGGGCGATTTGCTTCTTGCATGGTTTGACAAACCTCCTCTCTTTGGTATCAATTAATGCACCACTTCACTTAAAGCTTCTGCAAACCGGTGAAACCACAATTAAATTTGATGCTGAGTTTCTGTTCCGTGGAGCAGTGTCTTCCTTGCCCTGCTCTTGTACTTGTACTTTGTGCTGACCTTAACATTAATCCATTCCTGTGCTGAATACAAATTGACTATTTAAACCTCCTAGCTTGAGGTTCACTACTATTGACTTACTCTTCACTGTTACATCACTGTATTAACAGCCAGGGCGGCTTCATTAAATGTAGGCCGTTATGTCCTTTAGGTCATTGAAAGCAAGCTTGGTTAACTGGTTAATTGGACGGAGAGCTTGTGTGGACCATGAATATGTTCCTGGTGGAGAATCCAGTTTAATGATCAGTGCCGTCTGCTATACAGAAGAAAAAAATCAATAAACACGGAATGTAAAATGGAGTGCTGCGTAAGCTAAAGTTCTGTTTCAGATCCACGTTAATACTGCGAGGTAATGGCATAGTAAAGTGTATATTTACATACATATACATTTTTTTGTTTTTAAGTTTTTCAATCTTTTTCCACCGTTGAAGTAAAAATCATACTCTGTAGAAGAGGGGTTTCAAACTCACAACTTAATGGTCATTTTTGGCCCATTAACCCCCAGGATCTGGTGTGACTCAACCTCAGTATTAATTTAATTATGGAAATGTTATACCTTTGCTAATTTCAATGAGAAAATAAATATATGTACTAAATATTTGTACTCTAGTATTGTAATATAATATATGATCAAAAAACTCTTTTTTTTAAGTATCTGGGATTTTTTACAATTTATCAAATTATCCTTGAGAGCATATCAGGTTGTTTAAAGAATATTCACTTAGTTTAGGTTACATTACTCAACAGAATAATCATTTCTTTTTTAACAACATAGACTTTATTTTTCACAGTATTTGATCAACAGTGCAGTTTTTGTAGATTTCTCCCTCATACACTTTGTATCTCAATTTACCTAAAATAACAACACACAAGTTTTATTCTTATATATTATAATCAAATTGTTTTGCCTCAAACCCTCAAAGGCGGGAGTATGTTGTCAATCTAAAATCTGTTGGAATTTGAAGGACTGAGCCTTGTTTTGAACTCTTTTAGGACAGTGAGTGCAGAACATGTTGTGACGGTGCGTTTTTGGGTTTTCCCATGGACACACACACACACACGTACACACACCTGGTTTACTATCTTTCAGTGTGTAGATTCCCTGGGCTTTTCATTGTGGACCTACTGTTGTCGTGTTTCTAAAATAGTCTGTTTCCCCAGAGACTTCACCAACTCAAAAATAGGGAAAAGTCAGTGTGCTAGTTTAAAATAAGACGAGGTATTATAAGGCCAAAGAGAAGTTCAGTAGTGGTGACTCTGGTCCACGTTCTAGTTGACAAAAGGACGTTGTCATGCCAACAGGAAGGTGGCTAATAAATTCCTAATTGTCCAGAGATGTATTTGTCGTCATCTGCTCAGATAAAGTTATAATGGTTATAACCCTGAAAAATGTTGTCAATGAGTCAGGAGAAAAAAACATCTGTGACATGACATGATGGAGAGTGAGATTTATCAGAGTGTCACAGTGAAGAAAAATGAACCTCAGTGTATGAGTGTTAGACAAGAGCATGGAGTGCTTTTATAGATTTGAAGGCCGACATCATAACTGCATCTTAAAGTCGACCCAATCGAACAACAGCTTATCTCTACTCCCTGCTCAGTGGTCGGAGTATTTAAATAAATCTGCGTATCCTCAAACCTGCAGCTGCTTGGTCATTGAACATGTAGCATGGAGCTAAAACTTATTCATTTTACTCTTGTCATTTACACACTTACAATTTTATTTTTCAGTTTTCAATTTCTGTTTTATTTCTCCGTAGTTGCCCACGGTCCAGGTCATCGCTGTAAATACATATTATTCATTTATTTTGAATTTTAAAAGTCGGTGAAAGATGAGAGTTACTGAAGGCCACAATTGTGATTTTGATAATCTGATTTTGATAATCTGAGCTCTGATTTAGCTGAGGTTTTTCTTGTAGGTAAAACCAAGTTTACTTTTATTTTTTATAAGGACCTTAGAAATGAAGTAATACATTGAAAAACATGTTCTGTTGCTTAAGAAAGAAACCAGAGGAAAGGCATCCATGTAGGAGCTGTGTATGACGGTAAGATCTCTGCTCAGAGCTGTGAAGACCTCATGTCATAAGCACATGGGAATTATAGAGAGGGAGAATGAAAACTACTGGACCTTTCCAGCAGGTTGGTTCAAAGGTAATGTAAAAATGATGAAGGTGGGAGCTGAATTTCAGCTGTCAAATCTGCACTTCTTTATAAAACCTGGTCTCTGTTGGGCATTTTCATGCTGCAGAGAAATAAGGTAGCTAAGGTATCAGACACCGCTGGAGGAAATAATTGATTTTCAGTCGTGGAGCCAGAAAGGAGGCTGGAGTGAATTTAAAAAGCCGTCTGAATTGATGACACATTTAGCTTCGTACCCTGTGGTTGGTTAGTAAAAGTGTTTGACAGGGAGAAGAAGTGTGAGCAGAGCCATGAGAGAGGAAGAAACCATAGGTGTGATTTTTGATATTTAAACAATTAAGACTAAAAAAACTTTAATTTTTCATTTATCCATTCTCTACTGCTTACAACTTGCTGTGTTGTAGGGAAGGGGAAACCAAACCTTTGAAAGTATGTTACACCTTGGACAGTTCACCAGTCCATAGGAGGGCGTAATAACGCGACAAACAACCAATCACACCATCGTGAAAAAATCCATAAAAATAAAAAGTCCCCGAAATGCACTAAAATGCAAGACTATGTCCTAAAACATGCTGCCAAGTGAATATTTTGTGTTTAAAATTCCAAAAAGTATTTTATATGAATATTTCAAAAACGTGTGTTGTGTGATCAACCCCATTCTCCCAATGAATACGTTTTTCAGGAAACTGGAGAAAACCCATGCGCAGGCATGCAAACTCCATACAGAAAGATCGAGAATTGAACCAGCAAACCAGTGATCCTTCCTGCTGTAAATACAGCTTTTCACCAAGTGGCCAACACTTAAGTTTAAAGAGTTTTCTTTTTCACATCCAGTTCCTGCCTTGTCTCCTCCAAAAGCGACAGCCGACTGAAGCTCGCTGTTGTTTATTGTAATTAGGAGGCCAGAGCTGCTGCAGCGCTCCTCATGAATCACAGCGCTCATTAACAGCCAGCGCAGCTATCTGTGGACCAGTCGTATTGATGCTCAGTGAAACTGCTCCCGCTCTCCCCGTGGACCCCGGGCTGTGTTTACTCTCTGCAGCTGTTTGCCATGCAGCACCACACCTCAGGGTGGAGCGGTGCGTCGTGTCTTTTCATCTCTGTCCATACAATTGTCCTAGCGGGGCTGTGATCCTCTCAGAGGACACGACAACATGATAAAAAAGCCCAGCGGCTTTTTTTTCAAGATACAGAGGAAGGAACTCTGGCTGATTGTTTGAGACAGAAGCTCTGGAGGACTGCAGACAGGAAGAAGACAGTTTCTCTCCATGTACATTTGTGCAGTATGTGAGGTCAGACTAACAGCGTAGGACGAGAGTTTCGATGTAGAATGTGAATCACACTCCTATGATTCACATTTATCTCAGATCATTAGATATATCAAAATATGTTTGTAGAGAGCAGAAGGAAATGTCTCTGTATGATATATCAAAATATGTTTGTAGAGAGCAGAAGGAAATATCTCTGTATCTTAAGAATACATTGCAGAAAAAGCATGTCTGCCTGTGTTGTACACCCAACACCATCCTCATTAGAGAATGAGGTCAGGAAACTTCAGGGCGCAATTAGTCTTCCTTAGAAACGGATGGTTTGTGTGAGTGTACTCCGATAATACAGCACATACAGTAGTGTTCCACAGTGATGTACTCAGGAACATGTACATGGTCAGACTTAACTGGACGTATTTTTTATACATCCAGATTCAGGTTAATGTGGTGAATAAGTTGGGACTTTACATTTTTGTGTGAATCACATACTTAAGATTATTTTGGTTTTGTCAACATAAACGTAAGTCATATATCTTTTAATATAGGAGAACTTGCTTTTTGAGTGAGTTACTCACGTTTTTACATTTCTAGCTCTGCTGATTGCCACAATATAATATATATATATATATATAAAATAAATGGCCTTTAAGGAATGGCATATTCTCTATTATAAATGTCATAAATTGTTTTTCTTCCGTGAGTTAAATGTGTAGTTAAGCATTTTGGTCTTTTACTCCAGAGAAAAATCATCCGACTCTCTGGCGACTATAAATCTCAGAGGAATTTGGTGATGTTTCTCACACTGAGCTCTGAGGGGGAACGCATAAATCAGACAGACCGAGAAGAGAATTCTGCTGAAATTGAGTTTGAATCGGTGCATGTGTTTAATAAACCGGAGATTACAGCAGACATACTGATCATTAGAGTTGTCAGATGAAAATCTGTGACCATTCCAGTTGTCTAAAGAACCTGAGCTGTGGAGCACTCCATGGCCACTAAGTCATTGTTCTCCCGTTTATGTTGGGCTGCATGTGTTGTTTTTTCAGATTTCAAACAGTAGACGTGTAGTCAAACTTACGTGACCTAAAAAGCCATGACGTTCCTGGAAAAAAGAGAGAGAGAGACTGCAGTTTGATGATAGAAATGTAGGTCTCTAAATTCCACCAGAATCCTCTGTGTCACAGATTCTTTCTATATATGCAAAAACCTCAAGCTCACACTTCAGTAGCCAGGCCACATGCTGGCAAAGGTACACAACCTTTGTTGCTATTTGTCTATATCAGGGGCGTCAAACTCATTTTCATGTGACTACTCCATAACTGTTTCTGCAGTTGATTATTATTATTTATTTCAGTTACAAATATTGTTCATTGCTGTGTAATTAAAAAAATATAAATATTTATCAGGTTAAATTCTGCTGCATGGATCTAATTACATGCTTTTTAAGCTCCTGCGGGCCATACAAAATGACTTGGCGGGTCGCATTTGGCCCCCGGGCCTTGAGTTTGAAACATGTGGTCTATATACTGCATCAGGGGTGTGAAACACCCCAGGCAAAAACCGGACCGCTGTTCCGATGTCCATGATTTTTTGTAAAATTACGTACTATATGTGGCCCCTGAACCAAAACCATGTGGTGGTTTGTTGATATTTACGTTTAAGAAAATACTGCATCATGAGTTTGGTAGTACTGTTTATTTTCTCTGTATTCTTTTGGTTGATGGTCAGTTTCCATATTATTGTCCAGTTCCCCTACCAGTCCACGAGCATCAAACTGTTTCTGTGCATCTTGTTCATTTTTCTGCCTTTGGCTAAGTGTCAGCAACACTTTCCTTAGTAACGTTAAGTCATTTCTACCTTTCTCTGCCAAGTCATGCATTTGGGTCGGCGTGGCGTGCTCAGCCGTCATGATCGATACATTTCAGAACTACAGAAAATATCTGAATTTATAATAAGCATTCAGTTCAATAGAGTGACACAATAAGATGAGGTGATGATGATGATGATGGCTGATGAAGAGAACTCCCTGTAGGCCTTAATGAACAACCAGCACTTTTTCATTTTTTTTCTTTTCAGGTATTTACGAGCAGTTATAAAGGCTGCGCTCTTTGTTCGTACAAGTGCATTTCAAATTACGCTTTGAAAACAGTGTCCCTGAGATTGAAAAGGTGAGGAGGAGGAAGGACAAAAATGCCACTGAAGATACAGCAGGATGATGCAGTGGCCGCTTGCACATTTGGCTCACCTTTTCTCATTAAAGCAGTGTAAGTGTTTGTGAGTCAGAGTTTTTGAATGGTAGCTCTCTGCCAGAGCTCCTTTACAATGGTTTTGAAGGACGTTGGTCCCTGGAGTCAGTCACATATGAACATGCAGCTGGGTTTATCAACCTCAGCATCCTTACTGTTCACCGAGGACGCAGCAGGGACACAGGGGAAGCGTTTCATCATGAGGTCCTTTCTCCTACTGATCTTCTCCTTGTTGCTGGTGTCTCAGGGATCCTCAGCCATCATCACAGGGGTGAGTAGGAATAAATGGATCTCTAGTTCCCTGGACAGTGGCTCGTTGTTTTATTGACTTTATGGTCGTGTGTGTCTAGTTTAAAAGAGAATAAAATGGCATGGAATTTTGTCTTTTACCTGGAAAATATATGTCAAACAAGTTAGTTTAATTACTGCTTTTTATTGCTATGAATAAAACAGTAAATCATTTAAATCAAATTAATCATGTTTTGAGATTTTCTACTGAAGTAAACCTGATTGGACACATACTGTATGTGTTTGCATGAATTGCCTTCAGACAAAAAAAATCCATAATTATCACTAAATAAAGGGAAATGATGTAACCTTTTGATATATCCAGAAAATAGATTGTACATTTGAGTTTCTTCTTTTATTTAGTTTGTTAGTTTGATTATTAAAAATCCAATAAATGAAAATGTAGTTATATTTTAATGGATATATCATTCAAAATTATGCACCTGTATATTTTATAACTTATATTTGTGTTCGAGTGTACTTAAAGGGCAAAGCTGTTGTATAACGTAAAGGTAATCTCAGTGGATACAGTAAAGTCAGGAAAGCAAAGGACTTTAAAAATATACAGTATATATACAGTATATATACAGTATATATACAGTATATATTGTACTCTTTAAATTATGGTGTATTGTAAAAGGTTTTTATCCATCCATCCATCCATCTATCTTTCTATCTGATCTGTGTGTGTTTGTAGGTCTGTGAGTTGGACTCTCAGTGTGGAGGAGGGATGTGCTGTGCCGTGAGTCTGTGGATTGGCAGCCTGAGAATGTGCACAACTATGGGACAGGAGGGAGACGACTGTCACCCCATGAGCCACAAGGTGAACTTTACACGTCTTTAGCCCCACTGGTGTTATCTACCACTGAAGTGACATGGATATTAGACATATCATAGAAAAAAACGAACCATTACACTCTGGTCCCAACAGAAGAGCAGCTGCTCCTCACTTCAGTGAAGTCCTAATGGTTGATTGGATTTTTCTTTTCTTTTCTTTTCTCTCTCTACAGGTTCCTTTCTTTGGGAAAAGGCTCCACCATAGTTGCCCGTGTTTACCCAACCTTTCATGCATCGCCACAGACAAAGGAAGGCACAAATGTGTCTCACCTGTCTCTGACTACTTCTTCTGAGTCACGCCACCTATAGGTTTGATGAAGACACGAGAACTATTTTAGCTGACCTTACAGAAACACGTTTAAACTATCTGCCATAACTTGTAACTAATTGAATATGTTTCTTAGTTATAGGTACTGACCCATAACTAAGAAACATATTAAACTAATCTTTGGCCAAAATGGATCGTATATTATGTCATTCTCATTGACAACAAAAACGTCGATACTGTAAAGACAGGTTATCCACTGTAAGAAGTATGACTCATTTTGACGCTGTTCCAAAACCACGTCACCTGAGAAAATGTTTAACGAACAAACATGTTGCAAAAATCCTCTGCGAAGAAGAAAAGAAATGCAAATAAATACATTTTATCCACACATACACACTCAATTATCTTTATTCTCCGAGTTTTACACCAACTTTTGTTTCCTTTCAGCTATAAAAGTGAACTTTGTGGTGAATTTTGTATAATTTTATTGTTACTTTTCAGGATATTTTTTTACTTGGAACCCATTTAGAGAAAAAGAACATTAACAAGCAGCACATTAAAGCTCAGAAAGCCTGGAGAAAGTCGAGCCGAGAAACAAACAGCATCACAGCACGGCCTGTCTGCCCTGAAGACAACACGTTGTACCTAAAATAGCCAAACCGACCTGCATCTGCTCTGCACAGCAGCACGTGTGGTCGAGCACCGCGCTCCCTGCAGCTGAACAGCACGGGCAATTATACCGTGAGAGCTCTGCACGCCAGTAACAGCTGTCAGGAGCAGGCAGGAATGTTGGGATGATACGGTATATGCACTGAAGGTGGAAGGTGTGCTCAGGAGCTCGGTGCTGTGAAGCTACCTCAGAGTTGTACTGTGGTGTAGTGTGTGTTGAGAGAAAGGCTTCAGCGATTAAAGCTGCAGCAGACACAGACTCAGACTTAGTGTTTGAATCTCATTCAGATACAGGTGTGTTTTTTTAAAACTGATAACGTGAGCCTATACTATTGTAAAGTGTTTGTGACTGAAAAATGGGTAGTGGTAGATATCACTGTTTCCCAAACTTTTATATATATATATTTATAGACCTATATTTTACAAGTCACAAACCTTCGCAACCCGAGTCAATAGACATTATTCGTAATCTCATGGGAAACATGATGCAAGACGACCCAAAAAAAGATTTTTCTTGCGACCCGCCTGAGGGTCGCGACCCAGTCTTTGGGAAACAATGGTATATATTACAGGAAATAAAATCTCTTGGGTAGCTGTCTATTACTACACAACATTATAGCAAAGTCGCTAATCTGGATAGCTACACATCTCTGTGCTATCTATCTATCTGTCTAATCATCTGTCGATCCATTGGCCGGCCTGTTTATTTGTTAATTCCATGGCTTTTTGTAAAGTAGTTTAATGTGATAATAATTTGAGTTTTCTCTTGTGCCCAAAGCTGTTTCTTAACAGTAGCACTGTTTGGTCAAGTTATAATTGCAAGACCAAGTTAAGGGCAGTGCTTTGTCAAGACAGACCTGAACTCACATATGCTTATGTTGATTGGTTTAGCAAAGCCCATATGCTCAGCCTTAGCAAAGGAAAACAAGTACACTTAAATATCACACTTGTTTTGATGGTGAATATTGTTTGTGGTTAGAACCACAACTGGAGAATATTATTCAAGCAGCTGCAGCTGTTACAATGCTAGAACCAGTCGTTTCACTTTTGCAATATCTTTTTCAGAGTTGGTTTCAACAATATCTCACTTAAAACTTTCAAACATGTATAACTTTCTTCATTTACAGGCATTAAATACAACAGCAGAGACTCATCAGACATATTCCAAAAATAAAACCTCACCAGAAAACGAGGAGCTGCACTGCAAAGATATATGTGAGAAAGTAAGATCTATTCAATTACCAGTTACAAACACATGACACAGCCAGGAATTAATGTCATTTGTTATTTATTTAAGCTTAGAAACAAACAAACAAACACTAGGTTGGAACTTATTCATAAACCACATGTCAAGATAAATAAGGGCAGTCTTTAAAGTTACAAATGAAGAATTTTCTCAATTCTCCTGGTTCAGTGTCAGATTTTTAAAAAAAGCTGGAGGTCTACAGACTTGGCTCGCAGCGAGGCTCCAACGAGACATTACTAGTTCTTCGCTCCAACGATGGCAAGTTCCTGCCATAAATCTTGTGAGAAGTAACCTCATTATGCCGTACACCACCGCTTCTATCAGGGTTCTTATTTCATCCATTAAAGCAACCTTTGTGTTCTGGATTCTTCCTTTTAATTCAATTTGGGTTGTGGACAAATCGAAACATTTTGTTGTTTTTGAGTTTGGAACCAGTCCACATTAGGCCTCTACTGCATTTTTTGGGGCCATATCATACGCAATCACCTCCCAACTTTTTATTCAGCACTTATTTCTACAAAGAGATCATCCAGTTATGATAAAGGTCTACACACAAGTGCTCTAATGTGTGTAACCCTCAGTTTAAACCAGACAGAGTGTAAATTTGGGAACGTTTTTGGCAACGATTCAGTGCTGTAAGTTCTTGTTGTCTAGAACAGTGTTGTCAAACATAAGGCCCACAGGCCAAAACCGGCCAAAACACTTCATGTTCATTATGTTTTGTAAAATGACATTTCATTAAATATGATTTGAATAAGTTTTTTTTTTTATAAACCTTGGACTTCTTCACATGACAAGAAGACCTGTTGTTATTTATAGGTACTTATGTTATGATTGTACTGGTGTACATGTGGCCCCTGAGTTTGACACCCCTGGTCTAGAAAAATAGGATGTAGGCCAAATGACAATGTGTAACCTTAGTGTCAACTACAATAGCCTTTAATTGGGACCAGTTCTATTTTCATTAGTGGTAGATTTTTCATATTAGAATGAAAAAAATCCCCTTCTCTTTAGATAATAGTGGAATAATAGTTTAATTAAAGTTTGACCTTGAAAAACAATAAAATAAGGACCACGAGGTGTAGTGCTGGAAAAGCTGTCAATATTTATATTTCAGAGTCCCAAAACCCACCACATATTTTGGCTTAGACACACATTTAAACTCAGCATCTAAGAAATATTGAATGTTAAATAACACAGAGAGAAAAAATGCACCTACTGTATATTAAATGTAAACAGTGGTTGACCATATCGGTCATAGATTTTCCCTAGAATGCATGCAGAGTTGTAAATAAAAGACGTTGTTGTTATGATACCTGGCCACCAGGGCAGAAAATACAGTACTAATAATAATCAATAAATAATAACTGTATGTCCTTTATCTGGGTGATTGACTGTGTTTTTGGTTCTGCTTGTTCTTCAGCAGCACAACTTAAAATTAAGAGTTCAGGAAATGTACAGTAGATTTGTGTCCTGGCTGAGGTTTAGGAACATGTTTAAAAAATGATAAAGTCTTGATCTGAAGTGGGCTCAGCCTCCACAACATCAGACAGGCTGCACATTCTGAAACATCGTGGGTTTTTGGCAGTGTCCTGACAGCTGGGGTTCAAATGACACAATAAGGCTCCACTGGAGTCTGCGTCCCGAGACGGCAGAGGAAACAGGCTCTGAGTCTGAGCCGCAGCTCCCTGTTGAACAGGAAGCTGATGATGGGGTTGGCTCCAGCCTGGGCGAAGCTCATCCACACCGCAGCGGTGAGGTAAAGCTGGGGGACCGGGGCCCCGTGCCCGAATATCCTTAGGAAACAGGTGCTTATGTACGGAGCCCACATGATAAGAAAAGTCAGTGTGATCATGTAGAACATCTTCCCAATGCGCTTTTCCATCTTAAACTCATCCAACACCAGCAGCCTCCTGTTCCCCGGGTGGGACACTTGCCTGATGCCCACCAGAGTGGGCGGCGTGGGGCCACGGCCGAAACCGGCGATCCAGTTGGCGGCGGCCTGTCCTGTGGCCCCGGGCCCGTGGAAGGTCCAGTTCTGGCTGATGGCCGGGACCAACTGCGCCGGCTTCATTTTCCTGTGATCGTACACAAAACACAGCATCTTAATGTAAACAACATGCGTGGTACCCACGATCACGACCAGCATGAGCATGAAGCCCAGCGTGTCGTTCGCCTTCACGTAGCGGTGTTCGAAAATGCACTGCTCCTCCTCGTGGATGAACTTGTAGGTGCCCACGTCGAACACCGGCGGAAAGGCTATGGCCACGGAGAGGGTCCATACCATACAGATAACAGCCACGGAGGTGCACAGGTTCATCCGCTTCGAGTAGAAGCGGTGGTGGGCGATGGCCATGTAGCGGCTGACGCTGACACAGAAGAGCAGGAAGGCGACGTGAAAGCAGAGGAGCACGGAGACGAAGGCGACGATCTTGCAGCTCACAGCACTGTACGGCCACACGGAGCCGCCGACGATCGATGCCATCACGAAGGGGAAGCAAACGGTGCAGCGCAGCACGTCCGACACGCACAGGTCCAGCAGGAAATAGTAAGGAGCCTTGTGTAGAGAGTTGTCCCTGATCAGCAGCAGCGACAGCGACGCGTTGCCCAGCAGGCTGACGCCGGTGATCAGACCCAGGGAGGTCAGCTTGACCGCAGAGGCCGCGGACGCGGACGCATAGTTATGTAGGGACGCGCTGCTCTCCCCCAACTCACTTGTGTTTGCCATGAAGCCACTGCGAACTCCCACATCAATCCACAGTCATGATTCCTGCCAGGATTCCTGAACGGATCAGCACCAACATCCAGCAGTCGAACAAAGACAAGATATGAGTGATTTCCGCTCAGACGCACCGGTTCACATGAGTCCAAGTGGGTGCATAACTTTAAAAAAACAAAAACAAACATCCATTAACATTTCTTCCTTTTCTTCCTGTCCTCCATGTTACAAGTGTTCATCACAAAACGTATCCGTCTGTGCTTCCACTTTCTGTAGGATCACGACAGCTGCGGCAGTTCCACGCAACATCTCTCTTTCCACAGAGCCTCAGCACACAACCCCCTCACAGCTGTAGTTCCAGGGACAGCGGAGGAACTCCCTTCCTCTTCCTCTCTTCTCCCATTGCCAACAAACATGGGGAGTCGCGGCTCGAATGAGCCTTTACGCACTGGAAAGGGACTGGTTAGGTGGAGCGAGGATGCTGAAGCCGAGGCGGCCACCGATGCGACGCAGGCTCGTCCGCGTTTACGCAGCGCAGGCCTTGGAACAGCATCGGGCGGCGATCAGCTGCAGCAGGAGAAGGAGGAGAAGGATCACCTCATCTGCCTCTTCTGTCACCGTTATAAAGGGGCGTGTTAAATGAGAAGGAGGGCTATGGAAAATAAACCCCGGGGGGCCACCATGTACTGGAACAAAGTGGGCACCCCAGTGCTGAAAAACGTTTCCTCAAGGTCCAGAGTATGATGTTTAGAACGAGGAGGAATAACTTAGTTATTGTCAGTAAGATTTATTTTCGTATTTGTAAAATGTAAAATAATATAATGTACATCCTTTAACATGTACTTTTATGCGTGGAAATGTAGAAACTGTTTTTTCAACTATCACTGGTTAACCATGTTCGCCACTCATAAGTGAACGTACAACAAGGGCGGGTAGCACTTCCCAAGTTGGACAAATATGGTAAGGGTAAGATACAGCAGCTCTATAAACAGAAATAGGCCACATATGTGATATTCAGAATACATGGGAATCATTTATCATTATGGCAACTTTGGCAGTCAACCATCCATGTACAAAAGCTGAAAGTATAGATAAGACAGAGGCAAGGGTTCGTCCGAGAATGACGGTTTGGAGTGACCTTGAAAAATGTGGCAAAAGATTTGTCAGTTGGCATATTCAGAAGATACACAGAAGGAAATGAATAATAACGATAAAAAGTACGACGTGTGAGAGCTTCCCTTCCTGGTACTGTGCAGCAGCTGTTCTAGTGACGCAACAGCACCCCCTATGGTCTGTTCTATGTAATATCATAAACAGCGGTTAACATGAAGAAAATTTTAAATTAATTTTGTGAAGTAAAAGAAAGATTGGAAGCCTGGATTTTGTCAATACACTTCTGTCTGATCTTTTATATAGATGATTGTCCAGTAAAAGATTTCCAGTAAAGTCTCACAAAAAAAGAGGAATCAAACTAAAGATGCTGTGAGGAGAAGATGAGTCACTCAGGTTGATACTCGTGATTTCTAGTCTCCACAAATGCTATAGCTCGTCACGAACAAACCACAGCAGAGACTTTGAACAGAAGTACATTAATCTTTGCACATATTAAAGATATAAATATGAATATATGAACCCATGTGTTACTTGACTTCACTAGGTTGGAACTTTAACTTTGACAATATGTTTGCAATTGTACCTGTAGGGCAGGTACAATTACAAATGTTTTTCGCACAACAGAGAGACAATCTTTCCACGGACCAGCTGAAGCTCTTATAGGGGAAAGTAATGCACTCAAGCTTTGTTTTCCAGACTCACCTGCCTGACTTGTTAGTGGGGGAAGTTGTGTTAAAAACTTCCTGATTGCAGCTTGGACGTAGACCAACTCTGAGAAAAAGACAATGAGGAAAGTACAAGTGATGATTGAAGTAATCAGTCGTTTTAATCAGGTCACTTTCTAACTAAACTACACCTCTTTTTACTTTCACTTTTAAATGTGTAACTATATTGCAGTATGGGGTAATAAATACCTGCCTGTAGCTGGGCCCTACCTACATTTTAACTTAGTTCAGGAGAAAGATGATTTTACTGTTTCCTATGTATGCAGTGATAATAACATCACACACTGCACGATCTATCCGTCACCAGCAGGGGTACTGCTGTGGTCTTTTTACAATTATTATGGAAAATGCAACAATTGTAACCTTATATTATCCAACCTCCCACTACTGAGGCAAATAGAACTCTATCTGCTGTATGTTCGTCAAAAAGTTCCAAGACTGATGTTACAACTCCAGAAGATGAGATTTTGATGACAAAACATGTCTCTCTTAGAATTTTCAAATTGTATATCTTTGCCAGGTGTTTCACTGTTTGAGATTTTATGTGATCAATTTTTTCAAACCCTCAAAATTAACCACTCTTCAATTCAGAGCAAACATTAAATTAAAATGAATGAAAACGAATGAAAACTTTTTTGATGTAACTTCGTCCATTTGTTTTTTCTAAAAGTGAAAGAACAATTGGAAGGAACGTGATTACAGTCATTAAAAAAATGTCTTTCAGACTTTTTAAATTGGATCTATGGCTTCTTGCGCGGAGTGATTCCTCTTCGCCTTTTCCTTCTCAGTGGGATGGACCAACTGCGACGTATGAAAGCTGTGACGTACAGACGTCAACAGTTAGTAGGCGGAAAAGCGGTGTGTTTCCCAGTCCCACTAAAAACCAAACCGGCTATTTGGTGTTTTTAAGCAGCCACAGACAGACGCAGTTTAAAGATTATTCCTTTGTCACTGGCGCTGCTGAAAGAGGCTACGAACAAAGATGGCTGTTCCCGTCGGTCAGGCCGATGTACAGATGGACAGAGCTGCCCTGAGCGGACAGACAGTTTCCTCAGAGAGCGACATTGACATCGACGAGAAAGAGTTGGAAAATATTACAAAGAAACACAGTGAAGAGCCATCGCTGCCTCTGCACTCACCCTGGACGTTTTGGCTGGACAGGTAAATACAAATCCATGTTTTTGTGTCAGTTTAAAGCCCGAGGGAGCAACATGTAATTCAAGGCCATTGCTGAACACGGGCCTTCGGGAGCAAACATAGCGGGAGAATATCTGCGTTTTAACACCATCTCCTCCCTTTCACACCACCGTGTCTTCTGACTCGCCAGAAGAAAAAAGTTATCTATGTGAATGACGCATTCATGGCACAGGACCTGTTCGTAATGTCATGTGATGTTCAACGCAAATATTCAAACATGTTAGTGCAGTTTCCGTAGCCGTGATTGTCAACAGGGAGTCTCAAGAGGCTCTGAGGGAATTTGAGAAGCCTTTCCCAGTTTTGTCCCAAAGTAGCACAGTTGAGGAAGACAGGCATCACTGTGTCTCACTGCCAAGGGCTGTGTTAGATAAGAGTCACTGGGGTTATGGAAGACAATTGACTGTAACAATGGGTCTGTGGTGCAAAGGTTTCTCCCTAAAGTTGACATAAAACCGCAGCAAGCATGTTTGAGCAATGTTTCCTTCACAAGAACATAGCAGTGTTGTTAGTTTTACTTATTGATTTATGTGACTGGGAGCAAAGTCAGAAGAACTCCTTTCACCCTGGGCCGACACAGTTACTAGTCATGGATTGTATTGTAAACAATAACAAACACAGGATCCTGGCAGGATGTCATGAACTCGACTTGAATTTATATCCGAGTGATTCAATTTGGCATATTGTCACAGTGGAAAATGTCTTTTATGAACAGCAAGAAGGTCACTGGTTCAAAACCGTGTCCTAACTAATGGTCTTTCTGTGTGGAGTTTGCATGTTCTCAAGGTGTATGGTAATGATTTAAAAAATGTGCCATGCCATTCCCACGCTGTGCTTTCACAAGACATTATCTATTTTAATGTCTCTACATTTATGCGACTGTAATTTTTCCATTTTTCGGCATCATTCCCTGTACTGGCTCTTTGCGTTATTACATAAAGCACAAACCTGAACCCATAACAATGTCATTCTTGCCCCCCCCCCCCAAAAAAAAAAACCCCCACATAAACGGTTACAAGAGCTTCTTCCTCTCAGCTGCACCCGTCTCCACTTTACTGCTCCCATCTTCTCTGCTTTACTCAGTCACTTGTGGTTTGACCTCTGGCAAATCAGAAATAAAGTCTAAGTGTTCCTGATCACATTCTCACACAGTTATTCTGAACTGCATGGGATGTGATCAGCCACAAATTAAAATTGGAGGATTTAAGCGTGGTTCAACCAAAGGCACACTCAGCTCAACCATCTCTCCTCTCTCGGTCCTTCAGTCAGAAAAGACAGCAATGCCATGTTGATTTATTGTATTTATAGCAGGCTAGAGTCATCCTGGCCAAACATGTAGAACACAAATGCTTCTAGACAGCCCTTAATTTCAATTTGTAGACTTATGCTGTATGCAGATGATGTTTCTTTTCATTGAAATGCTCACCAATTGTAAATAAATTAAATTAGTATGATTTAACTTTCAGGTTGAGGAGAACACTAGTGTTTAATTTCTTTTTTTAAATATGGTGAAAGCCCACTCTGTAATTAATATAGAATATACATATATTATCTAATTGTAAGTGTAGAAATGTATCCAGATCAGACATACAGGCCTGGAGTAGTAGAATGCACAGTAAAAGACAGAATCCAACCTGTTAGGTTAGCGTTTACTAGTAATTTTAAAAACATAGCAGGTGGTGTATGTATGTGTGTTTGTGTTTGTGTGTGTGCATGTGCGGCTGTACACATGCATCACTTCCTGTTTACTCAAAAGTGTTCACTTGTTGTTCTAGGTCGTTACCAGGCACAACAGCTGCAGAGTGTGAATCCAACCTGAAGAAGATCTACACAGTACAAACTGTTCAGGTGAACACTGCCGTCTGCCTCAATAGCTCCATTATCTTTTGAACACAAGTAGAACAGGAGCGTGACCAAGTGGCTTCAGTCAAGGCTATTGTTACTGAAAAGTACAGTAGATGGTGATGTTGGTACAAATCTGATCCTTTTGTTTGCAGATGTTCTGGAGTGTATACAACAACATCCCCCCAGTCACAGCCCTGCCACTGAGATGTAGCTATCATCTAATGCGCGGAGAGCGCAGACCACTTTGGTGAGTCTGTTGTTATAGTAATTATTTATTTTCCAGTAATCATATAATCCTGTTCTCTGAAACTGGCCTGAGCAGGAGGAAAAACAGTAACTGTGGGTCAGAGTATTTCTCAGAGTTGTTCTTTGACCATAGCCTGCGATGGAGGCAGATCTTTCACTTTTTATATACAGTACAATAGATGGACAAACAAAAGACTGTCAGGAATTTGATTTAGTTGTATAATTTATTCTAGAATTATACTCTATAATTCTATAGTAAGTAAGTCTAATTCTACAATTCCCTGCTTGTAGAAGTGATTGACCCACCGTGGTACAGTATGTGGTGAGCTAACAGCTCAAATTCTGTTGTTTATGCAGAGGAAGTTTCTCCGACTTTTCACTTTTGCTATTTTTCATTACATTGATCCCCTTCTGTATCGAATTATGGTCAAAAAAAAGGTATTACAGTGAAAGTAATGTACTTGGAGTTTAGTGGCTCAAAAGTGCAGGAAGTCTTTATCTTTTTCTGTAGAATTATAAAATGATTCATGAATGTTTCTTCTTCCGTTGTCTGAGCCAAGGACCTTTAAATCCTGTGTCTTTGACAGCTTCTTGGAACACAGAGCCACTATTAGCAAGAAGGCATTTAAATGTACTTTTTACTGTCTTGTAGGTAGTCCACATCCCTTATTTTAGTTACATATTTTTGGATACACTTGTTCTACTTGGCAAGAAATAACTACTACTACTAATTGTAGTAGATGTTTGTGTTGAACTTCTGTGTAGAAGAGATGTTCTTTTTACCAACTGTCCTTAAATGAACGTGTTTTGCACAGTACACATTTGTGGAGGAAGTTTTCCAATAGATTTTGGTCAGAACACGCTTAAAGACGCTTGTGTTGTCACATGTGTAGATCTTGGCCGTGTTTGGATGAAATGAGAAGTTGGCATCTGACTGGTCAGATGCCAACAGAAAAGATAGAAAAGATCATTTCACCCAACGCTCATTGCCTCAGATTCTGAGGTCGGCGGCAACAGCAGAATTTTCTTTCCACAAAATTCACTGCAGTTGACTTACTATGAAAAAAAGGTGCTGCTTTCATGGTTGGGTTTCTGTAAGGTGGATGCTTTAGGATGGAGGTTTGCTTTACTCAAATAACATTATCGTATTAAGTAGCACTTCAGATGTCTCGTCTTTTCTTTTAATACAACATGTTCTCGTGTCATACGTTCTGTATCTTTTACTCCACAAGGGAAGAAGAAAGCAATGCAAATGGAGGAGTGTGGAAAATGAAGACACCAAAAGAAAGCACAGTAGGTGTTTAAATATTAGTAAAAAGAAAAGAAAAGAAAGAGTGATGGACAATTTAAAATCATCACTGATATGTCCTGTTTTTCCAGGCTGTAGTTTGGAAAGAATTGTTACTTGCTACTATTGGAGAGCAGTTTGCAGATTACTGTTCCTCAGGTATTTGCCTTTATGCTTTCCTAATGTTAACTTTGTGTGTTTGCAAATTTTTTTGCTTTTAACCTTTTTTTGTCTTTTGAATAGATGACGAGGTCGTTGGCGTCAGTGTTAGCGTTCGAGATAGGGAAGATGTTGTACAAATCTGGAATAAAGATGCGTCTCTTGCTAATGAAGCAAATATCTTGGGCAAAGTGTATGAACTCCTCCCCTACATATCTTTTAAAGCTGTTTTTTATAAGTGTAAGTATACCTGCATTTCACCTCATTTTGTGGTTTTTTTTTTTTTTGAATGGAAATATAGTTTTATACGAATCAACCTTCAGTGTTTCTTTTTATTAATCAGAACATTTGGTTTGAATGTCAAATTAATTAAAATCAAACAAAATTAATTTGTTTACACCATTTAATATGTTTGAGCTTTGGGAAGAATTTGACAAAATAATTAAATAATGACTATGAACAAATGCATAACAAAGACATGATGGCAAAACATGTCAAAGCTGTTGGAGACACATGAAAGACCAGTTTGATTTGTTTTAGTAAATAAATTAAATCACCATTGGAAAATATAACAACTGTCTCAGCACCTGTAGAGTCGCCATTAAAATATTTTTTTAACCTTTTCAACAAAGATAATGCATTTTTTTCTTGGTTACTTATTAACCTGTGGTAATGGTCTGACATGATTTTTTTTTGTCTTTCTTTTTCAGCTCACATGGAACATCATGCCTTTGAGGGAGGACGTTCAAGACATTAGGGTTAGTTTTGCACTTTAAAAAGCAATAAAAATAAAAGTCCTGAACTTTCTCCCTGCCTACACACGAAGGCACTCGTCACAATCCAATCAAAGAGATTATTTTTTGCCTTGGACAAGGAAATGCTACCAATATATTTTTATAACTTTTAATGACTGATGCCTTTTATTTTGATATGGCTTCTGATGCCCTGAAGTCTAGAGTATGTTCAGTTTCGACCCCCACTCTTGACTTCCTCCTGTACTTGTCTGCACTGTCGTGACCCTGTTCTCTGCACTTGCCATGAACCTCGGAATTTATTCCTCCTGTTTGACTCAGCATTTACATTGTAGTACATTTTATATCTCACTACATGAAACAATTCGTTTGTTTTATCTTTTAATTTTCAAAACTAGTTAGAATTACCAGAATGTCTCAGCAGATCACTGCAGTGTCTATCTGATTATACAACATCTACCCCTCTCCCCCCTTTTAGCCGGATATTCTCACACTGTTGTCATAAGTATCCTAGCCTTTGATATTGATATGTTCCACATTTAACCCAAGGTCACTGATCCACCATTGGAATCGCATCAACAGTGTAATTTGAGTTTACCAGTTGTTCCCATCGTCCAGTCGTTGTTTTAATGCCTATTTGGACATTTCCTGTTTAAGCACACGGTTGCTGACACCGTACGAATATGATGAAAACAGAGAAACAATTACCTCAAAACAAATCTCTCTGACTGTGTAATCAAACTAAACTGCATTTTCAGTCACTTTTAAAGGATTAAAAGCTCTGAACCAACATTTTGATCTTTATGGACAGTCACCAGGACTGACGTAAAGATGCTTTAACTGGCACATTCTCTAACATCCTTCAACTATTTAACAGCTATTTGTTAAGTTTAAATAGGTGAATTGAATACCTTAGGTAGTAGGTTTTTAGTTAAGTATATATAAACTTCACCTTATGTATGTTTTTTCAATTGATTCAGCAATACAATGTTCAAAAACTGTCATTGAGATTCTTATTCCTTTGAGATGCTGTAGAAGCACAAGCTGAGAAAAAAAAACTACAACTCCCATGCGTCGATTATGTTGCGATTGAATGTCTGCGATTGTAGGAACTCTTCTAACGTTAAAGATTTCACAAATCTTAATCTCAAAGCTTACGTTTTGCCAAGGCACTTTTCCAGTGTTGTCAAGACACAGAAAATCAACGTAACTTTTTTTTTTAAGAAAAAAATAACATTCCGTTGGGAATGGTCACACATCCATTACATATTTGATACGTTGAGTTTGAGTGTGTCGACCGCAGAGCCCTGTTCTCTGTGAAATTGGGTCACGGTTTGATTGCTGTATTGCTTTAGGGACATCTTTTTGCTGGGTACCGATGAATCTATGTGACACCTGTTTCCTTACGAAGAATAAATTGTTCTTATTGATTTTCCAGTGACCATAACATCTTACGTAAAGTTAACACCTTGTAAAAGAAGCCACACAGTCACGTGATATTCACTTATTTTAACATTTTATGTCGATGAATTACATGAAAGATCAAAACGGGGGAAAAGACTCTTGATGTTGAGGGCTGTCGTTCCTCATTCATCATGTTAACGCATTATTCCAGGATTTAACCCAGTGGAGTGCGCCTTGGCCTGCAAAAGTGCACAAAAAATCCTGCAGCGTTGCTTGACCATCAATGCCTCTGTGCCTGCACAAAGGGTGAAAGAAAGCTATTTGATTTCATCATGCTGTGCTAGGAACTGAGTGCACGAATGACAGCAAAACTATACATGCACTGACTGCAACCGCACATAATTGATCTTAGTGAATATCACAACTACTAAAGTACAAAGAATAAATCCATAATTTTCTACATATTTTTTGTTATGTCTTCAGGAATCCGCCCTGTCCCACTTTAACGTGGTTATATGGTTCATTTCTATTGCCTTACTGCTGAACTCTATCTTGTGTCACACGACATTTATACATTCATCTTTGGACTGGCTTTTGGATGAATAAGCTGTCTGGTGATTTTATTTTGTAAACATGATTTTTGCAGTGTCATGGAAAGCAAATAAATTGTAATTTAAAGCCATACATTTTATCTCTATTGATCAGAAAAATGCTTCCATTCTAGACAATTACAATGTCATACAGACATGTAGTACAACAAAAGTGAGCGAGGGAGGAGACTGCACCGAAGCTAGCTGAGTAAAAGTAACTGAATTATCAATGAGGTTGACCAGGATGGAGAGGATTAGCATAAGCAGATCAGAGTTAGAGCTTAGTGTAGGTTGAGCAGCGTGAAGATTAAGTTGGAAAGGCAAGGTTCAGCCTGGCTTGTTTGGACATGTGTGTCACAGTACAGGAGAAGAAACTCGCCCTCACAGGCTAGTGCTAAAATATTGTTAGCTTGAAAGTACTATACAGTGAGCTGAGAAAAATCCAGATGCACTTTTTGCGTTGTAAGTGTGACTATAAGCATTGGTGGTTCAGTGGTAACATTCTTGCCTGCCACGTGGGAGGCCCGGGGACGACTTCCGGCCAATGCAATTTGTTTTGTGGTTCCGTAGTGCAGCGGCTAACATGCCTGCCTTTCTTGTGGTTCCGTAGTGCAGCGGCTAACAGCGGCTTGAAAGCAGAGAGCAGAGATTCCTGGGTTTGATTACCAGAGGAACCACATACATGTCGCCTCCAAGGGGCAGCCTGTTGCAGCACATCTGCTGAATTTTCCCAGTGTGGGATCAATAAAGTTCATAAAGAATACAGGGTTGACCACCGGGTAGCTAACGCTAATTCGTTGTTTAAAGTGACAAAAGAAATACGTCATTTAAAACACCATCAGCGTAACAACAGGACAATGATTTTCTGATGTTGTTGTTGTCAGACACAGATGTGATTATTGTGTCTAATTTTGACAAAAGTCTTTCCAAGGCAGAAATCTTCATTAATAATTATGTAGTTTGAACGTTTTGCAATATACAGTAACTCGTCTGTGGTTGGTTACTTTGATCAAATAGGCTCAGTTAGCGGATGCTAAAGCGACTCTGATACAAAAAAACAAGCTAAACAAATGACAAACTTGTCAATAAATGTCAGCTTTATGATGATAAATCACTTAATCATTGTGTGTGACAGTCTTCTCTAACAGCTGAGGAATGCTTGGCAGTGATCCACCAATCAAGTCACTATCACATTAGAAGTGTGTTAAGAAATCTTATTAGAGAGTGTATCTCGGTTTAGTCGGTCTGGAATAACAGCATTCCAGTTGTCACAGTGAATTTGCGTGGAGTGAAACAAGTCAGACGGATCAACCAAACCAAACTAAACGAGTTGTTTGGATCTCGTTGCATGTCTGACAACCAGCTGTACAAGAGTTGATGTGAAAGTCTCCTGTGAAGAAGTTTAGAGCAAGCAATTACATGAACAGCATGCCTAGATTTGAGAGCGCCTCTACTTCCCCCGGGGTTATGAAACACTTTCAGAAGCCAGTAATGTTAGTCATTTAAAACTGCGCTGAGTGCTTCTACTTTTACTCAGCGCTAATGAAGTCAACATGAACATTGAAAGCCAACTGAATAAGGCGACTGATGTTTTACAGGCGGATACACGTCTGACTGAAGATTCAGCCACCGGTAAATGTGAAGTTCAAAATTTTGCTCTTGTGTCACACGTATAACGTAGGGTCAGAAATGTACAGGATTTAAAGCAAAATATCTGGAGTTAACCTAGAAATTATCCAGCCAGGCTGCTGTGGTTCATAGAACGTCCATGTCTTTGTTAAGTTTAGAACCATTAGATCAGCGTTTCCCAAACTTTTGTTCTGCAAAGGTTTGTGATTTATATGAATATGACTTATAATATGCCCAATATTATAAGTCATATCCATATAAGTCACAAACCTTTGCAACCCAGGTCAATAGACATTATTCGTAAACTCCTGGGAAATATGATGTAAAAAAATCTTGCGACCCACCTGAGGGTCACGACCCAGTCTTTGAGAATTAGATGTTTACCTTAGGACCTGATCCAGACCGGACACTGATGTTGTTATTCAAATTGGTAGCTTGCTTGTTGTTTGTAGCTGGTCAGATTGTACTCTGATTGTAGTGAGTGTTGTATGTCTGCTCCTACTCTGTCTTTCTCACCTTTTTTTCTTTTTATCTCTCCTATGCTGTCCCCTCTATTTCCCCCTTTCTGTCTTTGCCAAGGCAGATGGCTGAACACTGAGTCTGGATCAGCTGAAGATTTCTTTTCTCTCAAAAGGGAGTTTTTATCAACCCAACTCGCCAAAATGATTGCTCAGTGGGGCCTGATTTGGTTTAAAAATTGTATTTGTACAGCTTATTCTGCTCTAATTTTCATTGTTAATATAAACATTCCCAGTTTTCTCCCTATTTCTTCATATAAATATATACTGTATATAGATATATATACATATACATACATACATATATGTATATGTTTATGTTAGACACTTATTTCAGGACTCTGTATTTTTTTAAATGCTTTTATTTTTGGCAGGAGTTGTGTTGTCATTTTGTTTTAATGTGAAGCCCCTCCCACTTTAAAAAAGCTAATAGCTAATTGTTGTGGAAATTAGAGGGCTTACTGGTGCATGAACAAAGACTTCAACAAAGAGTGGAAAAAAATTTACTTTCCTAACGGTTCGTAAATGATGCTCTGCCCAGTACTGTAAAGACACTGTTTTTTTTTTTGTTTTTTGTTTTTTGTTTTTTTCATAAAGCCAGTATGGACTGCTAATCTCATATCTCGTTTTCCCACAATTCCCTTTCCTGTCATCTTGCGAGAATACTGCAGCCCCTGGCAGCAGAATGGGGGAAAAAAACACACGGCATGAAAGCCATCAAATCAAAGCCTCCTCCCTTTGGAAATCAAAAGGAGCTCTTATTCATTAGCTGAATTACCTAATTAACAGAAAGCTAATTACTCTCCCTCTCTCCGTGCTTGTGCAGGGAGACTGTTATGTAACTGATACTGATCCTCAATTAATTTGCAGCTACACTCCATCAAGTCACAGCCCTAATCCACACAACACATCAGCGGAGTGGTGAGGGCAGAGCGGGGTAATACATTCAGACACAGACACATGGCTGCGGTCAGGGCTGCTGTGGTACTGTTGACGAGCACACGGAGGCACTGTCTGATAGCACAGCCACATTTGTATCATCAGAACGTGTTGGAATACAATAATAAGGAATTTTCTTTTTTCAGAACAGTAATGAAAAATATATATAAATATACAATCATATATTTAAAGGTGAGAGTTTTGTGTGTTATTTTCAAGAGATTCAATCATTTAAATATACATAATATATGTATGTATGTATTAGGGATATTTATATTATGGAATCTCTTGAAAATAAGACACAAAATAATATTTTATGTGTAGATATTATTAAATATCTCTCTTTTTAATGTAAATGTTTCATTTATTGAAGGAAATTGATTAAATTGCCCTCAGAAATATTTGGAATTAAGAAATTAAGATTTGCAACAAAAATAGCCAACAAATAACTAATTGTCAGTAAACTCCATTTAAAATGTTGATTAAATTAATGATTCAATCAACGATTCAAAATGTCAATTACTGTAATCCTTCACCTTTGTACTGTGTGTAGCTGGTGTTTGGAAGTCTCAGTTCTGCTCATGGATTGGTTTAGATATCCAGGGTAGTTCACGCTGTTGAAATATGTTTGAAAGTTTGACTTCAGTCTTGCCAGTGTTGCTCTCATTGCATGAGCCCTGAGGTCATTGGAGACAACCCAGCAGTGGTCAGCCATANCCCACATGTACACAGCAGACACTCTTTACAGAGGAAATAAATCATCACTTTTGGTCTGTCAGATTTATAGCATTAAATTTAAGAAATTATTTCATTTGGACTAAATACATAAATCAGGAGTGAAGAAACTTTAACTTTTTTTACCAAGTGCTCTGGTTTGATAATGTCAAAAATATATATATAATTTTTTTTTCTAAGAAATACTCCCTGTGTGGTACTTGCTGACGTAATTACATGCCAATTTATCATGCATTTGATTTTTTTGATGCATTTTAAGACACGTGTCTCTGAGTTAACAAATCTTAGATGTGTTACAGAGAAACTAAAATGAAACTGAACAGTGTCGCTGTGCAGAATGAGCCTGAACTCGTGCTCAGGAAATCTGTAGAATTCAGCAGGTTCACTAAACTTTGACTTTACAGAAAGTCTCCACAGTAATAATACAATCACATACTGTATGGAAAGACTCTTTAACATGGAGATCATTATAAGAATACAGAACATAGAAAAGTAGTACATAGTCCAAACTTGGTATTTTATAAATAACGGTTTGATACCTTGAGGTAATCGATGGACTTCCTGTATGGAATTAGCATGTTCTCCCAGATTATGCTCCCTTTTCTCCTACGTACTCTTAACATCCTTCCAAGGTCAGAAAACATGCAGGATCAGTGGATTTTATTTACGTGGCCCAAATTCACAAAATGTATTTTCTTCCATGTACTTTAAAGTATTGAAATTGGAATTAAAAAAATTGGAATTACCGTATACCCCGTCGTGGCCACAGGGTGGCGCTGCTTACCAAGTAACTGAGCTGACTCGGTTGTGGAGACGCGCTCCTCCTTTCAGATGCAGCTGCGATGAAGTTGATGTCGAGCTGCTGTTTCCCAGACCTTGAACAAGGACACGAGGAGAGGAAAGGGGGGAAAAGGGACAAGATCTAAAATATTTTCTCTTGTGACTAAATTAATGTTGCTTTAAAACGAGTGTTAACTGGACTGTTCAACTGGCCCATAATAATTCTGCTCTTCAGAGGGTGACTGACAGATATTTTAATTATTGTCGCCAGGCGTTTTTCACTCTTTCTCTCTCTGACAGAGAGACGTGTGTTTGTGTGTGAACGCGTTTTGGGGGCAATTAGGGCGAAAAGAAAACCGTGAAGACATTTTCAAGTAACTTTCTGGACATTATATGGTTTTTGTAAGCTTTGTTGTGTTGTTTAAAAAAATACAGTAACAAAAAAATATATGTCGCAATTCGACCCATTTGCATTCCAACACATTCAGCTTTG